TAACATAGCATGTTATATTATGGTAGAGCTCGCTGGGAGCTATCGTATGTTAGAGCCCCGTGGGAGCTCGAACATGCTATGTTAGAGCTCCCATGGGGGCTCGAACATAGCAAGTTAGAGTATGTTAGAGCTCCCTGGGAGGTCTAACATGCTATGTTAGAGCTCCGTTGGAGCTCGAACAAGCCATGTTAGAGCTCCCACGGAGCTCTAACATACCATGTTCGAGCTCCCAGGGGGCTCTAACATTCTGGAACATGCTATGTTAGAGCTCCGTTGGAGCTCTAACATGCCATGTTAGAGCCCCCACGGAGCTCTAACATACCATGTAAGAGCTCCCAGGGAGCTCTCACATACTCGAACATGCTATGTTAGAGCTCCGTTGGAGCTCTAACATACCATGTTAGAGCTCCCAGGGAGCTCCTACTGAGCTCTAACATGCTATGTTAAAGCTCCTTTGGAGCTCGGTATCTTAGAGCTCCCAGGGAGCTCTAACATGGGAGCTCTAAGATATCAGGTTCGGGCTCCCAGGGAGCTCTAACATACTCGAACATGCTATGTTAGAGCTCCGTGGGAGCTCTAACAAGCCGTGTTAGAGCTCACACGGAGCTCGAACATACCATGTTAGAGCTCCCAGGGAGCTCTAACATACTGGAACATGCTATGTTAGAGCTCCGTTTGAGCTCTAACATGCCATGTTAGAGCTCCCACGGAGCTCTAACATACCATGTTAGAGCTCCCAGGGAGCTCTCACATACTCGAACATGCTATGTTAGAGCGCCGCTGGAGCTCTAACAAGCCATGATAGAGCTCCCACGGAGCTCTAACATACCACGTTAGAGCCCCCAGGGAGCTCTAACATACTGGAACATGCTATGTTAGAGCTCCGTTGGAGCTCTAGCGTACCATGTTAGAGCTCCCGCGGAGCTCTAACATACCATGTTAGAGCTCCCAGGGGGCTCACACGAAGCTCTAGCATGATAAGTTAAAGCTCCGTTGGAGCTCGGCATGTTGGAGCTCCCAGGGAGCTCTAACACGGGAGCTCTAACATACCATGTTAGAGCTCCCTTGGAGCTCTAACATACTCGAACATGCTATGTTAGGGCTCCGTTGGAGCTCTAACAAGCCATGTTAGAGCTCCCACGGGGCTCTAACATACCATGTTAGAGCTCCCAGGGAGCTCCCAGGGAGCTCTAACAGACTGGAACATGCTATGTTAGAGCTCCGTTGGAGCTCTAACATACCATGTTAGAGCTCCCACGGAGCTCTGACATACTCGAACATGCTATGTTAGAGCCCCGTTGGGGCTCTAGCGCGCCATGTTGGAGCTCCCACGGACATGCCATGCTGGAGCTCCCAGGGAGCTCCCACTCAGCTCTTACATGCTATGTTAAAGCTCTGCTGGAGCTTGGTATGTTAGAGCCCCCAGGGAGCTCTAACATGGGAGCTCTAATATAGCATGATAGAGCTCCCTGGGAGCTCTAACATACCCGAGCATGCTATGTTAGAGCTCCGTTGGAGATCTAACAAGCCAGGTTAGAGCTCCCACGGAGCTCTAACATGCCATGCTAGAGCTCCCAGGGGGCTCTAACATACTCAAACATGCTATGCTAGAGCTCCGTTGGAACTCGAACAAGCCATGTTCGAGC